GGCAGCTGGCCAGGGCTCAGGCAAATAAGCAAACTGACTTTCACTTTCCTGTGCTCACATTTAACTGGTTCCTGTTGAGGTGGTGGGAGGTTTAATCCCAGGGTATTGAACTTGGAGAGGCAAATGCTCTACATGTAAGCCATACCTCCAGCCCCTAGTTACATTTCTTTAGGAATGCCACCTTAAAGACTGTGCCCATACATGCTTAGGACTATTTTGTGCTGACTTTACCCCTCTGCTCCCATTATCTTTTATTGTCTCTCACTTCATGCCGTGCATTTGGACTGTGGGCAGAGATGCTAGGCAGGTAGTCTATTGGATGATGGAGGGACTGAGGTAGCTAACGGGCAGTGCCTCTGAGTAGGAATCCCTAGTGGGAAGGACCCTGACACAGAGAGCCCAGGGAAGAGCAGCCAGTTAGGGTTGGTATTTGATGTTTGAACAGTTCTGCAGGGCTTACTAAGTAGACAGTGGGAGACAGGAAATCCCAGTCAAGGAAAGTAGAAAGCATATGAAATGACATGATGTGAATGGAAAGAGAGAACACCTTATTTGAGGATGAGAGTTTATGAGAAGTGAACATGGACCAACTCACACTGGCCTTGTAAGTTGTGCTTTGTAATTTAGACCTTGCCCTCCCAATAGAGTGGCAGGGGTCGCTGGGGGGGGTTTTCATCAGGGGTCTGATTTGTGTATATGAAAGGAGGGGCATCTCATCTGTCCTCCAGCACTCTGTAATGTAAATACAATACACTGTCACCTTTTAATATCTGAGAACATTCAAGTCCCAGAGGTTAAAAATCTTGCTGAAGGTCTCAGGAGCCAGAAGGTAGAGGGCCCAGAAGTGACTTGGCTTCCTGGTTTAGGATCTTTTACCTGATACATCACCATTGTTAATAGTCTTCCAGAAACTGCCTGCCACTGGGTGATGAGTAGGCACTGGCAGGAACAAGATGAAGCAAATGGCTCTCACTGAAGGAGTGTGGTCCTGGGAGTTGTAGCTTGTGGTGTTCAGAGTCCCACCTCTATTCGGGAGCACAGAGAGGGAGAAGCCATGGAAAGCTCTATGCACACAGCTCGGCACTGGCCTGACAAAGTCCATCCATCACTGTCTCACTCATGAATGCAGAGCAGCAACTATGGTATGGTTCTAGCATTTATGTGTCAGTGGCTGGCTTCTATAAGCTTGATCCCTGATGCTGGTCAACTTCAAGTCATGACCCCAGGCTAGCCTCCAACCCACAGATATAAGTCCTTTGTTCTCTTTGTGTGTTTAGTGAACTGAAGTTTCTTTTCTTTTTTTCTTAAAGGTAACATGAAGCAAAAGTAAAGGATGATAGCTTGTAGATCAGCCAAACCCAGGTTATACTTCAGTTGCTGCCTCCTTAACTCACTGTGGAAGTCTGTGGAAGCCATTGAATATGTATGAGCTTCAGGCTCCTTGTCTCTAAAATGAGCAAAGCCAAACATACCTGGAAAGATGTCTGTGATGATTAAAATGTGCCAATGTTTCAAAAGTGCCTTGGAGCACAGCCTAGTACACATGAGTCCTCGGGTTATGGCAGTTTTAATTATTGTTCTTATCACAGTCACCACACCACTACTGCTGCCACTGCAGTGAAAGAATGTTCTGGAAATAAAGACTAGTGGGAACTAGTCCTACTGCTAGGTTGTAGTTGCCCTGTTAATTTATTCCTGTTACCTTTGGAGCCCCTCCCCAAGTTCTAAACACACAAGATTTTATAGTCAATTGGCTTTTTTTCCTATGTGGAGGGAACTGCATCATAATTTTTAATAGATCCCCCAATTATAAGAATACTGTGTAAGACTTAGACAGAAAGCAAAAGAAAAGCCATTCTCTGACTCCCACCCCCAGACCAGAGACAGACATTGTCAATCTGATGTCTCTCCCCTCAGTCACTCCCATTTGTGTTTTATTATAGTGTGGATATTGCATTATGGATACAATTTTTATGGGTTTTTTTCTAGTTCACATGATATTTGGAATATTTTCTTAGTGTAAGCATCATTTTCCTAGGCTGCTTAATAGTCCATCAAGTAGCTCTACCATAATTTACATAAATATTTGTTTACTGATAGACATCTAAGTTTTTTCCTGCTCATCAGTCTAAGTTGCTCCCTGTAACAAACAGACTTAGGGAGCCAGCCTCAGCACAGATTAAGATTAAGGTGACCTCTTACTGTGCCTCTAGTCTCCAGTGAGTCATCATGGGACATTCAGGTCAGTGACAAACTACCTCATGCTTAGACATAGTCTGGAACCACTTTCCAAGAGGGCTTCTTAAACACACCCTGTCAGAGTCCATGCAATGTGTGTAGTGCCCTAAACTCTGTTGAATCTGAGACTTGAGATCCCAGCTCTGTGCAGGCCAAGACCTAGGAGCCTAGGCTGCCCTTCTTGCCCACAGCTCTCAGAGCCTTGAACTTGTGGTCAGAACTTTCATGTCCACTCCGGCATCAGACAGGAACTTGTCAGAGTATGAGAGTCATGGTGGCTTGAGTATTTTTAAATGTTTTAGATTTTAAAAGTACTTCATGGTTATGGGTGCTTTGCTTGTATGTATGTGTGTGTCCTGTACCCTTGGAAGCAAGAAAAAGGCATTAGATCCCCTAGAACTGGAACCATGGACAATTGTGAGCCATTATGTGGGTGCTGGGAATTGAATTCAATTCCTCTGGACAAGTGGCCTTAACTACTTAAATGGCTCTTAACTACTGAGCCATTTCTCCAGCCTCTCTATTCTTTTTGTCTAATTAACAGGTATTTATCTGTTATATATATTTGATATGTACAACATGAAGTTTTGAAGTAAGTACA